AGCAGGGGGGGGGGAGAAGGAGGAGGAGAAAAAGAAGGGGAAGAAGAGGAAGAGGGGGGAAAGAAGGGGAAGAAGAGGAAGAAGAGGAGGAGGAGATTGGATTTATACCCCGGCCTTCACTCCCCAAAGGAGTCTCAGAATGGCTTAAAAACTCCCTTCCCTTCCCCTCCCCACAACAGACACCCTGTGAGGTTGGTGGGACTGAGAGAGCTCTCCCAAGAACTGCTCTTGAGAGAACAGCTCTGAGAGAACATCTGAGAGAAAAAGAAGGGGAAGAAGAAGAAGAAGAAGAGGAAGAGGGGGGAAAGAAGGGGAAGAAGAGGAGGAGGAGATTGGATTTATACCCCGGCCTTCACTACCCAAAGGAGTCTCAGAATGGCTTAAAAACTCCTTTCCCTTCCCCTCCCCACAACAGACACCCTGTGAGGCTGGTGGGACTGAGAGAGCTCGCCCAAGAACTGCTCTTGAGAGAACAGCTCTGAGAGAACTTGTGCCTGACCCAAGGTCACCCAGCTGGCTGCACGTGGAAGAGGAGCGGGGAATCAAACCCGGTTATCCCAGATAAGAGTCCGCACTCCTCACCACTACACCAAACTGGGAGGCAGTGATAGGAACTAGGAAGGAATGGGACAGGAGGCACAGGATTGACCTCTTTTTCGGTACCTTTAAAAGTACAGGTAGGACCACTGACTCGCAAGAACTTGCCCCTCCCCCCAACAGAGCAGTACGGCTAAGATAAGGTTACCGCCCCCTGTTTAACAGACAGGGATTTCTCAACTTCCAAGCGCAGCCCTGTTTCTCTGGAAGGCAGAGTGGAAAAAGAAGAAAAGGTCATCGCCGTTGCCTCCACGCCAGCCGCTTAGCCTGGAATGTCCATTATTCATTCACTCAGTTCTTACAGTGAATCTAGGGGAGGCCGTTTCTACAGGACATTACGACATTCCGGTCTTGCTTTTCCATCTCTCTCCCCCCCCCCCCCCCTTTTTTTTTGCTGGGGGGCAAATAAGGGCACAGCAGCAGGAAGAAACGGGGACCTCTGCCGAATGGGACAGATTTCTAAGCAAACACGCGGGAGGGGGGAGGACGTTTTGGATTTGGAGGGGGGAACCGCGTGCTGTACGGAGCCCAACCGCAAATCCATTTTCTTTCTTTCTTTCTTTTTTTTTGCATAACTTCTTTTATTCTAAAGACATCACGGACATAAAAGGGGGAGACTCATCTTTCAATTTCTTCCTTGACAAGCTCGTGCCTTAAATTGTCATACATTTATATATTTCACCTTGTATCATTAGGAATAACAGTTGTAAATATATCAGATTTTAACTTTGTGTGTCCTTAACACGTTTTAAATGTCTCCAGGGGTCATTTCCTGCAGGAGCACACAGGAGCGGAGCTCCAGCAGTAAAGAGCCCAGGGGGGCGGGCACATGCAACAAGCCCCACCCCCTGCACCCAGCAGCCCTCAGTCAGAGCATGAAGCAGCCAGGTAAGTTGCAGAGCCCCCCCCCAAGCCCCCAAGCCCCCCTGGTCCAAAACAGTCCAGTGGCACTTTTAAGACCAAGTTTTATTCAGGTACAAGCTCTCCTTCCTCTGTGAGGGCAGATCTGCACGTCCCCCCCCCCATAGCTAGCAATCCAAAACAGCCCAGGATCTGCACGTTCCCCCCCCCCAATAGCTGGCAATCCAAAACAGTCCAGCAGTGGCACCTTTAAGATCAAGTTTTATTCAGGTACAAGCTCTCCCTCCTCTGCGAGGGCAGATCTGCACGTCCCCCCCCCCAATAGCTAGCAATCCAAAACAGTCCAGTGGCGCCTGAGCGGTGGGTGTTGCCTTCTGACACACTTCCAGTGATGTCAGGGGGTGTGGCCTATGCTAATGAGTTATGCTAGTGAGTTATGCTAATGAGCTCCTGCCCGTTTTTCTACGAAATGACCCCTGAATGTCTCTATTTTACTTGCCATAGTCTTCAAATCACTTCTAAAATCTTAACCATCAATTTTCAAATGTAGTTTCTAGTTGCCCTTTCAAAATTAAAGTCGGTTTATCCATTTCTGCCGTTTCCAAAATTTCGCTGCAAATACACTTGAAGGTGACTGGACCGAACGGAACACGGCCTGCCCGAGGAACTCAGGAAGGCTCTTCCTCTCCTGACTGTCTGCGAACGATGCAAGACTGAATTTTTCAAGAGGGCTTTTCTGCACAGACAAAAGGGTTGCACTGTACGAAATGATTCACAGAGGTACTTGGACGAATTGCAGGGGACTGTGGTCTGTACTACTGTGCTTAGTTTGTGGCGGACTGGCTCCCGTTGTGCGATTTCTCATCATTGCATGTGTCATGCTAACAATTTGCGCTTTGCTTCCGTTCTGTTGCATACCCTTCACTACTTTGAGGAGTCTTAGAGCGGCTTACAATCTCCTTCCCCTTCCTCTCCCCACAACAGACACCCTGTGAGGTAGGTGAAACTGAGAGAGCCCTTTCAAGGACTGCTCATATTTTGGGAGAACGGCTCTGAGAGAACATCTTTGAGAGAACTGTGACTGACCCAAGGTCACACCAGTAGCTGCATGTAGAAGAGTGGGGAATCAAACCCGGTTCTCCCAGATTAGAGTCCGCGCTCCTAACCACACCACCAAACTGGCTCTCTTACCGGGAGGACCTCTGCTCCATATGTTTATCCAATCCCCTCTTGAAGCGGTCTATGCTTGTAGCCGTCACCATTTCCTGTGGCCGTGTCTTCTGCAGCCTCTTTAAAGTTTAAAGGGACTACAGAAGCCTGACAAACGCCTGAGAGGCGGGAGCAACCAGCTGCCACCCCTTGCTGCTTTCCCAAATATATCCGTGATTTTCTCAGGAAAACATTTGGGATGCCAAAATATGCCCGAAAAATAGCAGTAAGTGTTTTCGAGTATATTTTCCAATCGGGTAGATCCGAATGCACACCCCTACTTATCCTCCACGAACCTACCTAGCCCTCTTTTAAAGCTTTCTACTCCTGTAACCATCACTACATCCTCTGGCAGCGAATTCCACATTCTCATCACTCTCTGTGTAAAGTGGTATTTCCTTCTGTCCATCCTGAACCTACTGCCCATCGGCTTCACTGGATGCCCTCGAGTTCTAGTATTTGGGGGGGGGGAGAGAGAAATGTCTCTTTGCCAACTCTCTGCAGCCCGTGGACAATTTTATAAACCTCTATCATGTTCCCCCTTCTTCATTTCCAAGATTGAAAATTAAGAAGCTGAAACAGGAAGAAACTGCAGAGCTGGGCACAGATCTCAGTGGATCAGGAGAGCACGCTTCCACTCCCACTGGAAGGCTACAAGGATCCCTGAATGCTTCTTCTTTCACACCTTTGACTGCTCATCCGCCACGGGAGGGAGCACCCCCCCCCCAGCCACCCTCTTACCTCCAGCCACGCTCCACAGTCTGACGAGCCTGTCCGTTCCACCCGTGGCCACCATGTTTGAACTGGGGCTGAACTTGACAGCGTTGATCTCGGAGAGGTGGGCTTCCTGGAGAGGAAGAGGATAAAGTAGGCTTTAAAGAACCACCCAGGCACATAGGTGCAAAAACCTGCACTTTAACAGAAGCCCTCCCACTGCGGCCCCCCTAGCACCAAGAAGACAGAGCATTCCTTGCCCCAGGCATAAGAACGTAAGAGAAGCCATGCTGGATCAGGCCAATGGCCCACCCAGTCCAACACTTTGTGCCACACAGTGGCCAAAAATACCAGGGGCCGTCAGGAGGTCCACCAGCGGGGCCAGGACACCAGGAGCCCTCCCACTGTTGCCCCCCACAAGCACCAAGAATACAGAGCATCACTTGCCCCAACCTGAGAGTTCCTATCTATACCTTGTGGCTAATAGCCACTGATGGACCTCTGCTCCAGATGTTTATCCAATTCATAAGAACATAAGAAAAGCCAATGTTGGATCAGGCCAGTGGCCCATCCAGTTCAACACTCTGTGTCACACAGTGGCCAAAAATACCAGGGGCCATCAGGAGGTCCAGCAGTGGGGCCAGGACACCAGAAGCCCTCCCAATGTTACCCCCCCAATCACCAAGAAGACAGAGCATCCCTTGCCCCAGACTGAGAGTTCCTATCTATGTTGTTGTTGTTGTTCAGTCACAGAGTCGAGTCCGACTCTCCACGACCCCATGGACCAGGTCCCGCCAGGCCTTCCTGTCTTCCGTCGTCCTCTGAAGTTGGCTCAATTTCATGTTCGTTGCATCTATGACACTGTCTAACCATCTCATCCTTTGCCGCCCCCGTCTTCTTTGACCTTCAATCTTTCCCAGCATCAGGGTCTTCTTCTCCAGTGAGGGCTCCCTTCTCATTGGGTGGCCAAAGTATTTGAGCTTCAGTTTCATTATCTGGCCTTCCAGGGAACAGTCAGGGTTGATTTCTTTTAGGATTGACTGATTTGATCTCCTTGCAGTCCAAGGGACTCTCAAGAGTCTTCTCCAGCACCACAATTCAAAAGAATCTATTCTTCGGTGCTCAGTCTTCCTTATAGTCCAACTCTCGCAGCCATACATTACTACTGGGAATACCATTGCTTTGACCATGCGGACTTTTGTTGGGGAGAATGGTGGGGTATAAAAGAAGCAAATGGAATGAATACATAAAGTATAACTTTTAAAATCAGAGTTATCGGTCGCCAATCTGAATTTGAAGATCCCAGGTGGCTTCATCACCGTTCTTTCCAAGTCTGAGTTTTCACATTCAAAATAAACGGGCGCTGCACAACAAGGGCGGGGAGGGAGGATGAATGGAAGGGGGGGCCTCACGGCATGGGTTCGGGAGGTGGTGACTTACCTTGGTGTCACTCACGACGGAGGGGAGGCAAGCGGCCACACAAGAAGGCAGGCGGCAGTAGTGGTCCTCGGAAGGACTGCTGACCGAATTCCCGCGCTTCAGCCTGAAACTGACCAGAGCGGGAGAAAAATCCGGGGGTCAATTCTTGCTCTGTCCTGGGCCTAAACCACCCCTGCGGTGCTGGGCACAGGATGCCTGAAATGGGGCTGTGCATCAACCCTTGCGCCTGGCCATCAGTAGATCCCAGTTTGGGAAGGCAAGGCTTGAGTCCAGCAGGGCCTTAGAAGCTGACGAGATTTTCGGGGGCACGAGGTGCCATGAGTCAACGCTTCCTTCGTCCAATAGGGACCTCCATTCCGACTTGTATCTGACCAAGGGAGCTCTGGCCCTCGAGAGCTCACGCCTTGAGAATCTTCTTGGTCTCTGGGGTGCTACTGGATTCGAATCTCGGTCTTCTACTGCAAACCGACACACCCTCAAGGAGCACCTCCAAGACTAGCGAAATCTGTGGAGGGGAGGCGCTTTCAGGAGTCACACTGCTCACGTCTTCAGATAGGTGATGAGAGGTGACGCTACTGGACTCTGGCTCTTTTCTGCTGCTCCAGACAAACATGGCTACCGATCTTTATCTCCACGGGAAGCATCACATTTAGCCGTACAGAATGGGAATCCATCAACCTTGTGATATAAGGATGGATGGGCTCTCATTCTAGCAGTATCTGAGGAAGTGAGCAGCGACTCACGAAAGCTCCTCCCCTGCCACAAGTGTTAGTCTTAAAGGTGCTCCCGGACTCTTCGTCTTTTCTCCTGCTACAGACAGACTAACACAGCTACCTATCTTGGTCTGCCTCCCTGGAAGGAACCACATTTAGCCGTACAAAATGGGAATCCATCAACCTTGTGATAGAAGGACAGATAGACTCCCATTCTAGCAGTATCTGAGGAAGTGAGCAGTGATTCACGAAAGCTCCTCCCCTGCCACAAATGTTGCTAGTCTTGAAGGTGCTCCTGGACTCTTGCTCTTTCTGGCTATTCCAGACTTCTAAAATCCTAATGCCTTGCCTACTGAATGTCCCTTTTTGTTGACTAGACCGACTCACATGGAGTTCTTGTAAGAAAGACAGACTAGACATAAATAAATGTACTTATTTCATCAATCTTTAGTTACACGGTTCTGGTCCGTACGAATCCCAAAGGCAAAAGGATCCATATGCTAATAATATTTTTTTTCCTTAATGTGAAGAAGCGTTCTGTGTGACTCTGAAGCTGGCTGCCTACCCTATTGGGCACAGTGGATCCAATGAAAAGCTAGCCTTGAAAACGACTCCTGATCTTGGTGTTTTGTGGCAATTCAATGACACGCCATAGCCAGGAGACGCCGAGCACCCAGACGGAGCGGCCCACTTACTCAAACATACCCTTGAAGACATCCACGTATCGGGTGAGAGTCATGGAGGTGGCGGAGGCAGACCTGAACAAAAAGCCAAATGGGAATGATCAGCGAAGCATGAATGGGGAAAGCGGAAAGCGTTGGGTGGGAGACGAGCCACAGCGGTGGGCACGGGGGAAATCCATAGTGTCAGCTTCTGGACTGAAACGCTAGAGGGAAACACCTCCCTATTTAGTCTGTTCTTCATCCCGCCCTTCCTATGCAAAGTGGTGTATACCTTTCCCCCTTTCTCAGTATATCCTCACAACAATCCTGCGAGGCAGGCCAGGCTGTGAGAAAGAGGCTGACACCAAAGTCAGTGTGGTGCTTATCCACGGAGCTTCCTGGCAGAGCAGGGACTCGAACCCAGTTCTCTCAGATCCTAATCTGCCATTCTGACCACTGAGACACACTGATTGTTGTGGTTACCACATGGGGATGGACTTGTGTGGTTTCCTCATTGCTGGGGCGGCAGCAGATAAAACGCAGGGGCAACAGGGCTTCCGTGTAAGCCGCTCTGAGACTCCAAGTGAAGGGCAGGGTATAAATCCAGTCTCCTCCTCCTCCTCTTCTTCTCTGCCCCACTCTTCCGGCAGCAATTAAAAAAACCCCAGCACTAGAACATTGTTATTTCAACAGACAGGTGTTACAAGCAATGTTCCCTCTAAACTGTGGAGTCTTGTGAGCCAAAAATTCTACTTTGTGAGCTACTGGCATTAAAGTTGTGAGCGAGCAATTTGGCCTTGGAGCCATCCTTCCTGAGCCAAGACAAAAATGTGTGAGCTGGAGGCTAAAAAACTGTGAGCTAGCTCACACTAACTCAGCTTAGAGGGAACATTGGTTACAAGGTCTGTGAATTCTTAGCTTTCGTTAAAAGAGTAGTCTTTGCTGGTTCATTAAAAGAGTAGTCATTGCTGGTTCTGCAACAAACCTCAGGCGGATTTATCTCATTCGTGGTGGAAACGAATCAGAAGCTACAAAATACTGGAAAATTACTCCTATTGTGTTTTCAAAAGGAATCGGTTGCAAGATAGTTGGCAGACCTGAACTTGTGTGCTACTGAATTACCTTATTTCTAATCCAAGCAAATACCGAGTGTTTGTGTTATATGCCGTTGCAGCTACCAGTTTAACCTATTTGCTAAACGATGGAAACAAAAATTCAAACTGGGAGTTCCCCAGGCTGTGAACATGCTAATGGAGGAGCTTTCCTGAGGAGGTTCTTTTGTATATGGATTGTTTCCTGAGCTCCTCCATTAGCATGTTTCACAGCCTGGGGAACTCCTACAAGATAACGACTCAGCCCTACCCCTGGGTCTCACAAAGCAGCGTAGGAACAATTAGTAACTCCTGAAGAAATAGATTCCGGTGGGTTGCTGTGTTGGTCCGAAGCAGCAGAACCAAGTTTGAGTGCGGTGGCCCCTTTAAGACCAACAAAGTTTAATTCTGGGTACAAGCTTTCGTGTGCAAGCACACTAGAAGTGTTGTAGATTTTCCGGGTTGTCTGGCCGTGGTCTTGGCATTGTAGGACCTGACGTTTCACCAATAGCTGTGACTGGCATCCTCAGAGATATAACACAGAAAGATGGAGAACTCTCTGTGTCAAGGTGAGAAGAAAAATGGTAGGCAGGTCATTTATATCTACTCAGGAAGTTGGGGTAGGGCTGAGTCATTATCTGGTAGTATCTCCGCATCTACCAGTTTGGTGTAGTGGTTAAGTGCGCGGACTCTAATCTGGGAGAACCGAGTTTGATTCCCCACTCCTCCCCTTGCACCTGGCTGGATGGCCTTGGGCAAGCCATAACTCTGGCACAGCTGTTCTTGAAAAAGAGCAGTTTCTGTCAAGAGTTCTCTCAGCCCCACCTGCCTCCCAGGGTGTCTGTTGCGGGGAGGGGAAGGGAAAGGAGTTTGTAAGCCGCTCTGAGAGACACCTTTGGGTAGTGAAGGGCAGGGTATAAATCCAATCTCTTCTTCATCTTCTTCTTCTTCTTCTTCTACCTCACAGGGTGTCTGTTGTAGGGAGGGGAAGGGAAAAGGAGTTTGTAAGCCTCTCTGAGACACCTTTGGGTAGTGAAGGGCAGGGTATAAATCCAATCTCTTCTCTCTTCTTCTTCTTCTGTGTTATACCTCTGAGGATGCCAGTCACAGCTACTGGCGAAGCGTCAGGTTCTACAATGCCAAGACCACGGCCACACAACCCGGAAAATCAACAGCAACTAATGAACTCCGGCCGGGAAAGCCTTCAACAACATACTGAACTAAAGTCTGTCACAAATTTTGGCCGGTTCATGGTTTGTGATGTTCACTTCCTGCTGCTCCGCTGTATGAAAACCCTGCCTTCTGCTCCAGAAAGCAGGGAGTAGAAAGCAGGGTTTAAATGGCTCAGAGCCATTTAAACCAAACAGCTGACTGCCGCTCAGCTGTTTGGAAACCCCTGCTTTTGGCTCATCACTTGACTTGCACATGAGGTTGGCAGCTCCAGATTGGGAAATTCCTGGAGATTTGGGGGGGGGGGGGGAGTTTGGGGATCGAGGAGACCTTGGCAAGGTATAATTTCATACAATCCGCCCTCCAAAGCAGCCATTTTCTCCCCGGGAACCGATCTCTGGAGCCTCGAGATCAGTTGTAATTGCAGGCGGTCTCCACCTACCACCTGGAGGTTACAAGCAATGATGAAAACAGCCGTGATGTAGTATTATGAAAATATATCTAAATTATGAAAATATATCTAAATATATCTAAATATATCTATCTGCTGTTTTGCGGTGAGTAGTATTTCTTCAACATGTAATAAAGATGCACACATACACACAACGGGATTTGCACATACTCCCGTTTCACAGGACCGCTTTTTCTAAGTGTGCCGCGTGAATAACATTAGTTTACACGTCAACGATTCTAATCCGTGAAGTTAACACTCAGCGATCCTCCCCCTTCAATGAAACAAATTCTTTCCGTGCCCACTTTCACACCCCATCCGCCTAGGCCTCACCTCAGCCCTCCGCAGGGAGGATTTTACCTAAAGGGCCTTCTCCACGGCTTCTCACGGCTCTCCGGCTTGGGGACTGCAGTCCTGGCCATCTTCTGCTCTTCTTCCTTCCCTTCTTCTGGTTCTCTAGTGAGGGAAATCATGCGGCGGATGAGGACATGCAGACTCCCCACCCATTGAGGGTTTACACATGAAACGGCGGCAAAGTGGCCATCTTTGTTTGAGTACAGTGTCATGCCTGCCCTTGACTTGGCCCCAGAGCCAGCTCCTGACAGCCTAAGAGGGGAGGATTCAGTGCCTTTAAGAGCTGAAGAAGCATCAGGATCTGCACCTACTGTAAGTACTGAGGAGGATAGACAGCAATCTGAGTCAACTACAGGACGGTTTGCACCTGGGACTGAGCAGGCCATAAGCAGCTCACCACCTGCATCTCCCCCACCTGTAAGTAGGCTTAGGGATCAGAGACGTCAGGAGCTGGCTAGCCGACGAAAAGAAGCACGTTCAAGAGGGCGGAGATCCTTGAGCCCTGAGTTTTAACAGCAGCCAGGACCTTGCACAAAGGTGCTAATGAGTTAATGTGCCAGAGCACAATTTAGTAGGGCCTCTGGCCATTAGCAATTTGTGCTGGCAAATTTGATTCTGTGGCTTTTGGACTCGGCTTGTGTTTGGACTGCTCTGGCTCCTGACTTCCAGCTTTGAACCTGACCACGCCCTTGGATTTGCTCCCTGTACTCTGACATCTGGTAACGTTTGACTACAGCTTTGTCTGGTGTTTTGGGACTTGTTTAATGCTCTGCTGACTGCTCTCCCTGGCCGACCTTTGGACTTGTATTGTGACTCCCCCTGTCTGCCTGCCTCCCTGGCTCTACTGTGACACACAGCTGATGCCCGACTGTTGCCAAAAGAGGGAACCATCCAGCATTTACTTCTCGTCGTTCCAAGACCCGCCTGGGGCAGAGCGGCATACCGGGCAGCCATTCTTACAAAACGGACACATTTATTTAAAACATTCATTACCCACCTTTCTCCCTTACGGATCTCGAGAAAGCTTACAATATAAATAAAATACATCATACTAGGCTGGAGACGGCGGATATGGAATTATTTCCTAACTAGTGAGCAAAGCCCGGTGGGTGAAGTTGGAAGGGGGGAGGGAGAAAGGTGCGCCCGTGTGTCCGGCGGGACGGGTGGGTTCGCGAGGCGGAGGGGGGGAGGGAGAGAGATCGAGAAAGTGGGGGGGGAGAAGGAAGGTCGGTGGGTTCGGGAGGTTTCCTGTCCTGTAAACGGAAGGACACGGGCACCCCCTCTACTGGGTGTCTGTGCACCTCTGTGCGTGCCGTCGCCCCGCTTAGCTGGCCCACGTCGCGAGGCCGGTTTCCATGTGCTGGGCGGTCCTCGGTGGCCGCGGCCTCTGCTGGCGCTGTGCCCTCGTCGTGTCCCGATCCTCTTCCCCCCCTTGTCCCGTCGGTCAGCACACCGTGGGCTCCGGACCTGCGGTGCTCTTCTCTGGCCCCTCCTGTCCCCGGCCCTCCCTTGGGGTAAGGCTCGCTGTTGTGTCGGGCGGGGTCGGGTTGGGAGGGGCCCTGGAGCAGCCGTTCTCCCGGCGTTCATGCGGAGTCCCGGCAGGAGCGGCCCCCCTCGCCTCCTCCCCCTCCCCACTGTTACCAAGGCCGCCGTCGCCTCCAGGCACTCGCGGCTCTCGCCTTCTCCCCCAGCAGCGAGGCGACCAGCGCCTCCACCAGGGCGACGACCGCCGTCTCCCGCATGCTGAAAGTCAGCTGCCGGCACTCGTCCGTCCCCGCCGGTGCCATCCCTCGTCGCTCCCCGCTGCGTGAGGCTGCGTCAGAGGCGGCACTCGGAGGACATGGCCAATGGGACATGGGTAAGCCTCTGAGGGACAGCGCAGGCGGCCTAACACTGTGGGTGCGCATTTTCTGTCCCCTGCGTCAGTTTGCGTCTTACTGAATTATTATAAGGGAGAGATGGGTAAACTTTATGCATTTAGTTCTGATTTACAGACAGAGTGCAGTCAAGAGAAATTTATTGCCTTTTGGTTCCCGGTAATCTCTTATTGAACAAAAAAATGATGTCCTCCCCAAAAACAAATTTTATCATGATCTAATTTATTGTTGACCTCCCTGCTATAGTCGAGCGCTAAATGGATTTGTCTTTCCGAGAATATCTACTCTTCACAGATTAAAATGATGTAAACTCTGAATGGGTTTTTATGATTTTAATCTGTTCAATTGCTTTTATTGTCTTTATTGTTTTATGATGCCAACAGCCCTGTTAGCCACTCTGAGCCTCGGCAGGTAGGGCAGGATAGATATCAAATAAATAAATAAACAATCAAACTGGGTGGGATTGCGAATTCTGAAGAAGACAGAGTCAGGATTCAAAATGATCTAGATAGGCTGGAACAGTGGGCTGAGACAAATAAAATGAATTTCAATAGAGAGAAGTGCAAAGTCCTACACTTAGGTACAAAAAAATCAAAGGCACAGATATAGAATGGGAGGGACTTGGCTGGACAGCAGCACACGTGAAAGGGATCCGGGTGTTCCGGTAGATCACAAGCTAAACATGAGCCTGCAGTGCAATGCGGCTGCGAAGAAAGCTAATGCAATCTTCGGATGCACTGACAGAAGCACTGTGTCAAGATCACGGGAGGTGGTCGTTCCGCTCTGTTCTGCTCTGGTCAGGCCTCACCTGGAGTCCTGTGTCCAGTTTTGGGCACCACAGTTTAGGAAGGATGTTGACAAGCTGGAGCGTGTCCAGAAGAGGGCAACCAGGATGGTGAGAGGGTTGGAATCCAAGTCTTACGAGGAAAGGCTGAAAGAGTTGGGTCTGTTTAGCCTGGGAAAGAGAAGGCTTAGAGGGGACATGATTGCAGTCTTCCAAGTATTTGAAGGGCTGTCATGGAGAAGATGGAGCAGATCTGTTCTCTCTTGCTCCGGATTGCAAGACTAGGTCTAATGGGTGGACATGACAAGGGAGTCGCTACCGGCTAAATATCAGGAGAAAGTTCCTGACTGTGGTCGAGCAGTGGAACAGACTGCCTCGGGAGGTGGTGGATGCTCCTTCGCTGGACGTTTTCAAGCGGAGGCTGGACGACCATCTCTCGGGTATGTTGTAGGGCAATTTTTTGGCTCTGCTCCTGCAGAGTGCAGGTGGTCGGACTAGATGACCTGCAAGGTCCCTTCCAACTCTAACATTCTATGATTCTATGAAATGTTGGCTGTTTGTCCTTATCTGCTTTACAATTATCACACCCTTTCCCTCATTTTCCTTGCGTTTGTTTTTCTGATTCTGGACTGATGGACTGCTTTGTTTCTATTTTGTCTGGTCTCGTATCGCTTCATGACAAAAACGGCACGAGAACGGCAGTACAAATATATCAATAAAATACACAAAACAGAGTACGTAAAATACATAAAATTGGATTTTAAATTCAGACACAGGACTGCTTTAGTCTGAAACATAACCAACTTCAGCTGCATCCTAACTATCAAAACGGAGGAGGTCAGGTGCACCTCTCTGGGGAAGCTGCTCCATAATTATGGGCAGGGCTTTTTTTGTAGGAAAAGCCCAGCAGGAACTCATTAGCATAATAGGCCACACCCAGCAGCAGAAACTCATTAGCATATTGGGCCACACCCTCAACAGCACCGCTCATTAGCATATTAGGCCACACCCCACATTACCAGAAGTGTGGTCATCTAGCCACACCCACCTTTTGCTTCTTATTCTGTTGACCTTGTTTGTTGTCAAAACCCAGGGCCTTTTTTGTAGCAGGAACTCCTTTGCATGTTAGGCCACACCCCCCTAATGTAGCCAATCCTAATGAGTTTCTGCTGTTGGGTGTGGCCTATTATGCTAATGAGTTCCTGCTGGGCGTGGCCAACTTGGGAGCCAGCCGGAACTCCGTTCCTGTGCGTTCCTGCCCAAAAATAGCCCTGGTTATGGGGCTGTCACTAAAAAGGCCCTCCTTCGTGGACCCGCTAGACGAGCTTCTTTGGTTGATTGGACAGTCAGGACGTCCTCTCCCTGGGATCTTAATCCCTGGGCAGGAACCTCTGGGAGAAGACAGACTTTCAGATACCCCAGTCCCAAATGTGTGACTGCAATAAAAAAAAGGCCAATGCTATGCTGGGGATTATTAGGAAGGGTATTGAAAACAGATCAGCAAATATCATAATGCCCCTATACAAATCAATGGCGCAACCTAATTTGGAATACTGTGTGCAGTTCTGGTCACCACACCTTAAAAAGGATATTATAGCTTTGGGAAAAGGGCAACTCGAATGATAAAAGGGTTGGAACACTTTCCCTATGAGGAAAGATTAAAGCGCTTAGGGCTCTTTAGCTTGGAGAAACGATGACTGAGGGGTGACATGATCGAGGTTTATAAGATTATGCATGGGAAAGAGCAGGTAGAGAAAGAGGTACTTTTCTCCCTTTCTCACAATACAAGAACTCATGGGCACTCCATGAAATTGCTGAGCGGTCGGGTTAGAACGGATAAAAGGAAGTCCTTCTTCACCCAAAGAGTGATGAACACATGGAATTCACTGCCACAGGAGGTGGTGGCAGCTACAAGCATGGACGGTTTCAAGAAGGAATTAGATAAGCATATGGAGCAGAGGTCCATCAGTGGCTATTAGCCACAAGGTATAGATAGGGGCTCTGAGGCAAGTGATGCTCTGTATTCTTGGTGCTTGGGGGGCAACAGTGGGAGGGCTTCTAATGTCCTGGCCCCACTGCTGGACCTCCTGATGGCACTGGTATATCTGGCCACTGTGTGACACAGAGTGTTGGACTGGATGGGCCTTTGGCCTGATCCTACATTGATCCTACATTGGCGTCTCTTATGTTCTTATGTTAAGCCATGTAGGGCACACTAGAAGTGTTGTAGGTTTTCCGGGTTGTATGGCCGTGGTCTTCGCATTGTAGGACCTGACGTTTCTCCAGCAGCTGTGACCGGCATCCTCAGAGGTATAACACAGAAAGACGGAGTACTCTCTGTGTCAAGGTTTGAAGAAAAATGGTAGGCAGGTCATTTATACCTACTCAGGAAGGTGGGGTAGGGCTGAGCCATTGTCTCGTAGGCGTTCCCCAGGCTGTGAACATGCTAATGGAGGTGCTTTCCTGAGGAGGTTCTTTTGCATATGGATTGTTTCCTAAGGAGGTTCCCTGTTTCCTGAGGAGGTTCTTTTGCATGTGGAATTCTAATCTTATCTGTAGTGCTATTGTCAAATGTAGAGCCTTTTGTGTTTTTCAGGACAGGAAACCATGCTCTATTTATTTTTAATCTCCCTTCTTTCTCGTTGAAATTGTGCTTATGTTTATGAAAGCCTTCGACAACACACGAGAAGCAATGTTCCCTCACAGATGTGGAGTCTTGTGAGCAAAAATTCTACTTTGTGAGCTACCAGCATTAAAGTTGTGAGCGAGCGATTTGGCTGCTGCATAAATTAGTTTGCTCTGGAGCCATCCTTCCTGAGCTAAGACAAAAATGTGTGAGCCGGAGGCCAGAAAACTGTGAGCTAGCTCACACTCGCTCAGCTTAGAGGGAACACTGACTAGAAGTGTCCTTGCGCACAAAAGCGCATACCTTGAATAAAACTTTGCTGGTCTTAAAGGGGCCGCTGGACTCACACTGGGTTCTCCTGAAGAAACAGTTAAGAGTGTGAATCCATCAGAATTGCAATACAAGAAGCAGGGGACTCGCAGAGACCCACAGGGGAGGGGCCCATTGTGCAGCCCTCCCCCAGGCAGTTGCTGAACAGCTAGCCACGAGAATCATACAGGAACTGGAGTAGCCCAAGTCGATGACGCTCCGGTTCAGCCCTGCAGTCTGCAGGTGACACGCCCTCCCCAGCTGCCCCCGCCCCCCCGGGAAGTTAATTAGACTAAAACGTCTAAGTTACAGTGATTACGGTATCCATTAAGACAGGTTCTTTGCTCTTCCCTCAATCACAGACAGGGTCCCCGAGAGAAACCTGTCTCCCTGAAGGAAGGGCGTTAACGTGCAATAACGGAGACAAAAAATAATGGACTCTAAACTGCTCCGTGGCTGGCGCAAGGACGTCTTTGCTCTTCCTCCAATGGACAGGGGAAGCACTCAGGCTGGAACGTGGTTTCCAACCGCTCCAGGTGCGGCCTGGGAACCTCTCAATATTACAGGAGGAGGAGAAGGAGAATTGGATTTATACCCCGCCCTTCACTCGGGAGTCTCAGAGCGGCTTACAATCTCCTTCCTTCCTCTCCCCACAACAGACACCCTGTGAGATAGGTGGGGTTGAAACAGCTCTGAGAGAACGGCTCTGGAGAGAACAGCTCTCAGAGAATGGTGACTGGCCCAAGGTCACCCAGCTGGCTGCATGTGGAGAAGTGGGGGAATCAAACCCGATTCTCCAGATTAAGAGTCCAGGGGTCATTTTGTAGAAAAAGAGGTACAGGAGCTCCTTAGCATTATCATAACTTATTTGCATCTGCCAAACCCCTGACATCACTGGAAGTGTGTCAGAAGGCAACACCCACTGCTCTGGAACCACTGGAATCTTTTGGATTGCTAGCTATGGGGGGTGGTGGAACGCGCAGATCTGCCCTCGCAGAGGAGGGAGAGTTTGTACCTGAATAAACTTTGGCCTTAAAGGTGCCACTGGACTGGATTGGATTGCTATCTGGGGGGGGGGGCTCTGCAACTTACCTGGCTGCTTCTTGCTCCTTGTGGCCTGGGGCTGCTGGGAGCAGGGGGTGGGGCTTGCTGCATGTCCCCGCCCCTTGGGCTCTTTACTGCCGGAGCTCCGCTCCTGTGCGCTCCTGCAGGAAATGACCCCTGACACTACACCAAAATGAAAGAGAACAATTCCCCTGGAGAAAATGGCCTCTTTGGAGAGTAGATTTTATGGCATTATACACATTATACCTGCCTTATACTGAATCAGATCATTGGCCCATCAGAGTCAGTAGTGTCTACTCAAACTGGCAGCCACTCTCCAGGGTCTCTCTCAGGCGGAGGTCTTCCCCATCACCTCTTCCTGCCTGGTCCTTTTAACTGGCCATGCCGGGGATTGAACCTGGGACCTTCTGCATGCCAAGTAGAGGCTCTGCCACTGAGCCACAGCCCCCTCTTTACAGTTCTCCAGGGTCTCAGGCAGAGGTCTTCCCCATCACCTTTTCCTGCCTGGTCTTTTTAACTGGAGATGCTGGGGATAGAACCTGGGACCTTCTGCATGCCAAGCAGAGGCTCTTCCACTGAGCCACAGCCCCTCTTTACAGTTCTCCAGGGTCTCAGGCGGAGGTCTTCCCCATCACCTCTTCCTGCCTGGTCGTTTTAACTGGAGATGCTGGGGATTGAACCTGGGACCTCCTGCACGCCAAGCAGAGGCTCAACCACTGAGCCACAGCTCCTCACCCCAAACCTCTAGGAATTTCCCAACCTGGAGCTGGCAAGCTGGCCCGTTTAGGGAGGGAGCCTCAGCCCCAACCGCCCTTTCCAGGGACCACGCATGACTCACATCCCAATGTCGACGGGCTTCCTGGTGGCCTTCTTCAGCTCCTTGGACAGCCTGCCTTGCTTCACCCTGCAAGAAGAGAAAGGTGAACCGGGGATTATGCAAGGGACTGATTGTCTGTGCACCAGCCCTGGAGGTGGCATGGCCCCGCTTGGCTGCTTCATCCCTGTCGGCAGCTTCCACTTCCACCGACCTGGATCCCGCATGCTGGAGGGAGATTCTGAGGCAAAGAGGTAAGTACACGAGAGGGAGGGAGGGAGGG